AACCCACCACCTTAGGTGTATGTGGCTGGCGCCTTAGCCGCTTGAGCCACAGGCGCTGAGCCCTAACTATGGATTTTTTAAATTTAATACTGTTTCTTTTAGCTTTATGTTTCTTTCCTCCTCTTCTTCTTCTCCTTTTTTTTTTTTTTTGGTTCATTTTGTTCAGCAGGCCCTGGCTGGGTTGAACCTGTCCCGTCACCCCCAGTACACAGGGCCGGCTCTCCAACTATTGAGCTACGGACGCCCAGCCAGCTTAGGGCATCGACCCCATATGCTGGAGGTGGCGGGTTCAAACCCAGCCCCGGCCAAAAAAAACTGCAGAAAAAGAAAAAAGAAAGAAATGTCACTATTAAAAAAGTATAAGCACAGAAAAGAAGAAAAAAAGGCATTCACACTGGGAACAAAATTTGTTTGCATGAAAACAACAAAAAAAGATGAATGACTAATCTTTTACCAGTAATTGAGAATAAAAGGGCCCTGGGCAGCGCCTGTGGGTCAAAGGAGTAGGGCACCAGCCCCACATGCTAGAGGTGGCGGGTTTAAACCTAGCCCAGGCCAAAAACTGCAATAAAAAAAAAAAAAGGGCCTGAGCTAGAAATCACTGTATTGAGGACATGAAATAAATATAAGCGTTGATGTGTGAAACTCTTGATGCATGAACATCAAGGTGAATTTTTTTAGTTACTTTCACATTTGGACTCTTTATTCTGTTCTTACCACCTGAATCCCATTCTCTGCCAGCTATTGGACTGCCTGGTACCCCTTCAATACAGGTTGAGTAATCCAAAAATATGAAATCCAAAATGCTACAAAATCGACCTCTTTGAGCACTGACATGACACCACAGTAGAAAATTCCACGCTTTTTTTTCTTTTTTTCTTTGAGACAGAGTCTCACTTTGTTGCCCTCAGTAGAGTGCTGTGGTATCACAGCTCATAGCAACCTCAAACTCTTGGGCTTAATCAATACTCTTGCCTCAACCTCCTGAGTAGCTTGGACTACAGGTGCCCGCCACAATGCCTGGCCATTTTAGAGATGGGGGTCTCACTCTTGCTCAGGCTGGTCTCGAACCTGTGAGCTCAGGCCATCCACCCTCTTCAGCCTCCCAGGGTGCTAAGATTATAGGCATGAGCCACTGTGCCCGGCCTAACTATTTAGTTTTTATTTCATATTAATATGAGGGTACAGATGATTAGGTTGCATTGTTTGCATTTGTTCGGTAGAGTCCAAGTTGTAATTGTGCCCTCTCCTAGGAAGTATGCTGTATGCCCTTACATTGTGCCTATTAGGTGATACCAACCCTATCACAATTTTAGATGAACTCATCCTTGCTGCAGAAAATAGTTTTAGGAATTTGCCTTAAGAAAGAAAAAACAGGCTCGGCGCCTGTGGCTCAAGCGGTTAAGGCGCCAGCCACATACACCTAAGGTGGCCGGTTCGAATCCCCAGCCCGGACCTGCCAAACAACAATGACAGCTGCAACCAAAAAATGGCCGGGCGTTGTGGCGGGCGCCTGTAGTCCCAGCTACTTGGGAGGC